TTAATTTTAATTTAAAAAAGTTAAAATTTTAATTTATATTTAAAAATTAAAATATTAATTTAAAAATTAAAAATTCAATTCATTTTTAAATTTAAATATCAGTTATTAATTTTTAAATTTTAAATTCAATTTTAATTAAATAAAATAATCATAATTTAAAATTAAAATTTAATTTTTAAAAAAATTAAAATCAATATACATTTTGTTTTCTAAAAATTATATAAAAAATTATTTTTATATGATGAATCTCACTGTCACTTCCATCTAATCACATAAATAAAATAAATATTAATATCTCCTCTACGCTCTCGGCTTTTACCACTCTCTTCCAGGCTCTCCTTACCTTCGCTCCCCACCTCGAAAAACCAAAACCCCTCCACCCTCCGGCTCTAGGGTTAGGGTTTTTGGCGCCCTTTTTTCTCTTCCTCCATACTCTCTTCTTCTTCTTCTTCTTCCTCCTCTACGTGCTCCGTGGAAATTCTTCGAATTCTCTCATTCGTTAATTCCTGTTTCCTGCTTCGAGCGGGATTCCGATTCGACTGTGTTTGGATCTGGATCTGCGTAGGGAGGGAGAGGGGTGTGTAGGAATCAATGGATACTCGCAAGAGAGGTAGGGCTGAAGCTGGGTTCAACAGTAATGGCGGAGTTAAGAAGACGAAGCAAGGTTCGTTCTTTATTTGCTTTCCTTTTTTTTATTTTTTTATTTTTTTCTCATTTAAGCATGCATTCGAGATTTGGTTTTGGCGGTATTATTTGGTGTTATGTGAATTTAGGGTTTAGTGTTAAATTAACTTCCATAATGAGTTTATGATGGATTAATGATTTGGAAAAAAGTCACAGAACACAGAAAAATAAAGGGGTTTTTTGGTTTTTGTAATCTGTTCTTGATTAGCTCTTGGGTTTTTTCGGTTTGGTTTTTTGAAAGGAATGGAATTAGGAGGGAAAGTATTATTTATTTAGTGAAAATTTATACACATATTAAGAATTTAATGATTTTGGAGATATATGGAGTAATTTACTTGAAAATCCAGAGAATTGGTAACTGAGAACAAGTAATTAATGTTTTGCAACAGAAATGGAGTCTTTATCAACTGGTGTAGGAAGCAAATCGAAGCCATGCACCAAGTTTTTCAGGTTCAAATCTTCACTCACCTAAATAAATATCTTAATTATATTTTATATTTCTCTCTAATGCTTTCATTATAAGAAGTTAATCTACAATTTGTGGATAATTAAAAATTTGTGCAATTGTACTAATGAAATGGGTATTTAAGCTGTATCACAGGTACATTCTACTTCATTTGTCTAATCATTCTAAAAATAACAGAGATAAGCCCTTGTCATAAAAATTTGCTGGAGTGAGTTTATGCTAAGGAAAATTTATCAGGATCGATCAGTTTCTAAAACTGATGAAATTGTACCGTGTAGTTCAACCACGCTCATGTTTGAGTTGAGTTTGTGTAGTTTATAAAGGGTAATTTTATCAGAACTGGTACTGCCGTTGATTTGGTTGGTAAGTTGTACTAAGGTAATCTAATCTGCCAGTATATGGTGGAAATGAGGTATGGATGGTCAAGGTTTTTACAATGGTAACTCAGTTTTTATTGTCGTACCTGAGCATTATTGAACACAATATACCAATGGTATTCTTGTGTACAATTTTTATTTATATCTTTAGAAGTCATGTTTATAACCAAAGTATTTTTATTATGTTTCTGACATTAATGGAGATGGCTAGTTTATTGCAACATTGAAGTTATTATAGCATGCTCTGTCTTTTTCAGTTATTCATAGACTTTCTATGCTTTTAATTCTTTCAGCCAGGTGTAAGTTTTGTTAATTACTGATGTTTCCTGACTGTTAGGTTAGATAGGATGATATTTCCAGAGTAAATTCTTCACTTTGCTGTGTGAAATTTATTTATTGATCTAACCGTCATGTTCTGAATTGCAGTACTGCTGGATGTCCATTTGGTGAGGGCTGTCACTTCCTGCACCATGTTCCTGGTGGTTATAATGCTGTGGCCCAGATGATGAACCTAGCACCAGCCCCTGCACCAGCATCTAGAAACATGGGTGCACCGCCTCCCATGTCTAATGGATCTACTTCTGCTGTCAAAACCCGTATCTGCAACAAGTACAGTACTCCTGAAGGTTGCAAGTTTGGTGACAAATGCCATTTTGCACATGGCGAATGGGAACTCGGCAAGCCTATTGCTCCATCACATGATGATCCCCGTGCCATGGGACCTCGTTTGGGTGGTCGAATGGAGCCACCCCCAGCAGGCCCTGTTGCTAGCTTCGGTGTTTCAGCCACTGCTAAAATCAGTGTAGATGCTTCCCTTGCTGGTGCCATAATTGGGAAGGGAGGTGTGAACTCCAAGCAGATCTGTCGCCAAACTGGAGCAAAGCTTTCTATCAGGGATCATGAGTCAGACCCTAACCTCAGGAACATTGAACTTGAAGGATCATTTGAACAGATTAAGCAAGCCAGTGCAATGGTAAGAGAGCTAATTAGTAGCATTGGATCAGTGGGTGGTCCTGCAAAGGCATCTGGTGCAGCAGGAGGCCCAGGGCATCCAGGAAGCAACTACAAGACCAAGTTGTGTGAAAACTTTGCCAAGGGGAACTGTACTTTTGGGGAGAGATGTCACTTTGCACACGGTGCTGCTGAATTGCGGAAGACAGGAGTGTGAGGCGAGCTAGCTCCTCCCAATTTGTAGCTGGTGCTAAGGTGTGCAGTCTTGTACTAGTGATCTTTGTTTTTGATGCTGGCTGTGCATTGCTTTGCATTGCTATTTAATAGATTTAGCACCTTCGATTTTCACCCCCATTGAGTTGACATCTCATTTTCTTTGCTTTATTTTTGGTGGTTTTGTAACCTGTAGGATAGGTAAGGTTCTTGTTAACTTAAATGGTTATCTTCAAGGTGCTTCATTTGCGTAGCAATACTATACTGTTAATTATGATTGTTTCCACTACAAGGATTTGCACTTATGGATGCTAAAGCTCAATTACCTATAGATTTGCTAAGTTGTGGGAAAAGGTGATTGGACGTATTGGGTGACAGTGACTACTGACTATGCATCTACAACACTCCTAATTTTTTTTTTTATATACTTAAAATCTGCCTGAAACTAATTATTTTTTTTTTGCATCCACCTGAAACTAATTATTACTTCTTCAATTTTTGAAGGAAATAAATATTTTCCTATGCTTTATAGTTATTCTTTAACTTTAATTCTTAATCTTGTTACAAAATTTTTTTCTTTATTATTATCTTAGGGTTTTTCCTAATGCTAATATTAGTAAATATATTAATTGTCTCTGAATT